ATTTACTGGCTCTGACACACATGTGAATGATTGGAATGGTAGAGCAAACGCTGAAGTAATTTGCCAGCTAAATGCCATTATTCAGCAATGTATTTCCCAGTTAGCCGTGAAATGGCATCTCACGGAAGATCCCCTGCGACTGTTGGTGTGCGGAGTTGCAAGAGGCCACGTTACTTACCCAAGTGACACCACTATGTTTGTGTTTAAATTCTCTTTATGTGAAAATCAGCGTTGTCCAAAGAGATGCCAGGTATACGGAGCGGGACTGGTGCTGCACGTGGCTCTGCCAGCCCCAGATGATGTGCCTCTAGCAGGCGTGGGTCAGTGCAGCCCCTGTGCTTAGGCAAGCAGCAGATTAGTTTGAACTCCACGATGCAGGCCAGGAGGTAGGTGTGCTTAACTGAATGCTCTGATGCAAATGCTCTGATGCTGCTCACGTGCTTCTGTTCAGGTGGGCGCTGCCGCATTGTTTGCATGAGACTGCCTTGAGTCCTGTGAAGAGCAGGATGCTGAGTGACAACACTAATTAATAATTTAAATCCTTCAGCTCTCTTGGAGCTCTTTGATCTTCTGTTTTTCAGCCCTAATAAACATCAGCATTATGAAGTGTCTATAATCCACTGGCTTCTTACTAAAGGTAACTTTTGTTTATGGATGGAGGTTAAAAGATGGTCGGGAGAAAAGAGAAATCGAGGAGCCGTGTTAGTCCCTTGAGTATTTGCATCATAGGGCTTTAGCGGGACTGTAAATGTTTCTTGTAAACTATAAATGTAAGTCCTTTTCAGTAAGAAAAGTATAATATAAACCTTGTTTCACTGAACTGTCTTTTATGGTAATGATTAAAAGAAATGTTTTCCTAAATGTGGAATTAGTTGGTAGAATAATCAGAGGTGACTAAACCTACAGTGAATTTCCCTCTGTCAGGTTTCTTCAAAGCAAAATTCTGGCAGAGCCTGGTTTCATTAGGCCACCACGGTCTGTTTGGGGTTTTAGATGACAGTATCACTGCGGAGTAGATCTAATTAGATATTCTCAGGGTTTGATCATCAGGCTTTGAGCTTTTCATGTCAATGAATATCTAACCATTGAGAGTTACTTTTCCTCATAAGAATTAGTTTCTTGAAATGTGTATCACAAATAGGAGCATCATCCCAATATTATCTACTGATTTTTCTTTGCAGAAGTGCTCCCAAGCTTAGCACTTGCTCGAGTTGAACTCAGCCTCAACTCTAGCCAGTGGTAGCACTCTGTATTAAATAAAGAGATTGAAATCTGAGTGGCAGATTTTATGTTAATTGATCCTTTTAAATATGTTATATTTAGAACATTTATTGCATCTAAATATAACTGAAGAACTTGAGAAAATGGTATTATTGTGCTCTTTTGTTCTCTATGTGGCATCATCAGCATTATCCCCAGTGAAGCCAATTAATTCATCAGTTACTTCATGTTCATCAGTATTAATTTTTCTTAATGTCGTATTAAATAATTTGTAATCCTCTCTACTTTCTTATAAATGGTCATTTTAATGAATGTATGTATTTTGGTAGTGCTGATATGTGCTGGTTTAGAATAGGCAGAGTAACACATTATATTAGCATATTGGTTCCTTTGTATTTTTTATAATATATGGACTTTTACTATTAGGTCACATAAACCAATTTGGACTCCTGCAACGGATATCAATTAATATGGAGTTAATTAGGAATATTAATTAGGAGAGATTATGTAATGTTAAAATGCTGAATTTCCAGAGATTGGAAAACTACATCAGCTGTTGGTTTGCCTAAAATTGCTTTGTGTGATGATTAGAGCAGCTTCAGGGTTTCTGTCCTTTATCTGAATTTGGATGAGAGTGCGAGTTACTTCAGGAAAGGAGGACGGCTTCTAAGTTAGAAAATAGGAATTTTATAATCAATATTGTCCTTAATAGAAACTAATGAGGCAGTTGACAGGATGGACGTAAGATATTAAGTGAAATCCTTGACCCAGTTAAGTGTATTGTTTTGAGAAGCTGTGAAATTGTTTACTTTGGATGATGAGCAAGAGAGGTGGTTTAATGAATCCTAGATGTTAAAAGGGGCCAGCAGCATTGCCTTTTCACTGTCTAAAAGGCTGTCTGCCTGTCAGTTTTTCTACTTGTATTTGATGATAATGAAAGTACTGAGCATGCTTTGAAAGTTGTAGAAGAAAAATGTGAAGTAATATCTGGGAGGAATTCCTCTAACCTTATCTGATCACTGCTGAAGACTGCAAAGATAAGTTCTGATAGGTGGTGGCGTTAATTTTTTCAAGGCCTCTTTTTCAATGCTGTTTCTGAAGAAATTGCCACATTATTTTGGCACGTCATCACAAGATTCGGGGTCTAATTTCATGACATAGCTGGCTTGATCCCATGCTTCGCTGCTTTGCAAGAGGGTGGTCCGAGTTATTTTCATATATTTTTCTAGTGGTTTTTGCTTTTAAAATGACTTTATAAGTTTTAATTTTTTTTTTTTTTT